TCCCTCCTTTCGCTCCTTCTTTCCTTTCTCTCTCCTTCCCTCTCCTCTCCTCCCCTCCTCTCTCCACCCTTCCCTTCTCCTTCCCCTTCCCTCCTTTCCCTCCTTCTCTCCTCTCTCTCTCCTTCCCTTACCTCCCCTACCTGTTTCCCTTGCTTTCTCCATCACTCCTCTCCTCCCTTCCCCTCCTCTCTCTCCTTCCCTCCCCTCTTCTTCCTCCCCTCTCCTCCCCTCCTCTAAGGGCTGAACTGTGGGGTCCTTGGTGCTCTCTTAAGCCTGCTGGCTTTCTTGCAGACATTTCATTACCAAGCTAGGTCACAACATCAGTTTTATGTTAGTAGGCAAGAAGTTTAGAAACACAATCAATTGTCTGCAGATCAGAAATGGTTTGACTGTTTGGTAGAATTCGGTCGAAGAGACATGGAAAACTCTGGTACAGACAACAGGAACCCTGCATGCACATCCTAACAACCTTTTTCTCCTGGCTTGGTTTCACCTCCCGTTTGTCTCCTCTCTAGATAATTTTTCTTAGCGTGACGGTGCTTGTGTCTTCTGCATGTCATTCTAGTTCTGCTGCTTCTCCTCCCCTTTCTCCAAACCCAAAGCTACCAGCTCATGTTGGTCATCTTCTCTTTTTCCTCCTTTGCCCGCAGAACCTGAACCCTCCACACACACAACCTTGAATCTCTTTCGGTGGTACACCGGGAACCACAGGTGGAAGCCAAGCGCCGTGGTATCATTCATCCCCGAAACTTTGCAGCCTGCTCCACAACATCTCCGTTGGACTCCAGTTGCTTTGTTGATGATCTCCATCGCTGGTTTATCTTCCCTTCTTGGACTTGAGAAAATGGAGTGGCAGAAGGAGAAAACACCAGAGAGAGAGAAAGAAAGAAAGAAAGAAAGAGAGAGAGAGAGAGATGGAGAAAAAAAAAATAAAGGAAAAGAAAGAGACTCATTTCATCAGCATATAAACTGTGGATCTGAACCTAACTTTAAAGCTGGTTTTTGTTTTTTTTCCCATCTACAATTTGGTAGACTCCAGCAAGCACCAAAGTGTTCCTGTACGCACCATACGTCCTACGTGTCTTGGTGGTTATTACTCTGTTGTTGTTTTTTAAGCAACCAGCTTGCCTTGTAGAAGATCACTGCTGATTCCAGCATCTCAAAAGATAAAGGGTTAGGGACAGCCTAGGTGGGCTTGTGGCTAAGACGGAGGCGAAGGGGAGATGAAAAGTGTTAACATTCATGAGTCCGTTCCATCTGTTCATTTCCACCTTAGATGTTCCCTGTGAGAGAAAGGATCCTCCCCTGAATTGTAGCTGTCCTTGCAGAACTGGTCCAAGACAGAGTCGATCAGTTGATCCCAGACCTGGCAGGGAAGAGAGAGAGGAGAGGCAAAGTTTGTCTTAGTTCCACAAGCTAAACCGCACAAACCGCACTTTTGTCAGCGAGAGCCTCTCCTCTTTTTTTAGGGGCGCATAAAAACTTCCATCTCCAAACATCTGCGTCTCCGCAAAGACTGTGTCCTAACCCTGCTTTGGGGGTGGTGGTGGCTTGTGGGAAGGTCTGTTTGGAGACCAATGAAGTCGTAAGAAGCATCTTTATGTTACAAGCATCTTGCGGTGCAAACAGGGTATGTTCCTATCGACCGAAGAATGAGCCTCCGGCAACCAAGTCCTTCGTGGAAATCTGCAAATTTACTGCGGGCAAGGCTGTGGTTTTTTTTTTTTCCAGCTTCCCACACTTGTTTTTTTTAGCCACTGGCCATGGTTTCTGACTCTCCTGTTTGAGGCTCCGCCGTGTGTCCAGCATAAATCTGTCTTGGCAACTTTTTCATACAGAGGAGAGAGGGAAAAGATTCCAGGGCTACAGTTTTGTCCTAAAATGTGTTGCCAATAAAAACTGCACAGTGAAGAACAGCTGGTGTACCCCCAACACATTAGAATAGCATGTTAGGAACAAAGTTAAGGTTAGTTTCATTCAGGTGGATCGAGTTATTATGGGCCTCCAGGGACACCCCCCCATCCCTTTTTTTTAACATGTTGAAGTAATTATTCTTAGTAGTAGTAGAGTATTATTTTAAATGATTGTTTTTGCTAGTTTTGAAGGACATAGGAATAACAAGCTTCCTTTCCTTTTATGACCAGAATTTCTCAGCCGTTCTCCTGTTTTCCCAGGGGCCACTCAATTCGCAGTTTTCAATCAGGCTCAAATAAAGTGAACACTTAAAAATAGAAAAAAATACCAGCATAATTTAAAGTACCTGAACGTAATTTAGGTCTTTGGTAACTTGATGTCCTTCGAGCGAATTTTTGGACGTGACCCGCATCTTCTCGAGCTTTGGAAGGTGGTGTTGACGCTGACAGGATGATGTGTGACTGATGCAAGAAATACTGGTCTGGTTTCGAACGCAAGCCCACTTTTAAGACTAAAATGTTCTGTCACAGGGTCCCTGGAAAAAAAAAACTCCAGGATGAGGTCGGAATTGGACAATTGGTGGGCAAGACAAGGTTCCAAGGCGGACAGTTGCATGGGCGAAAAAGTTGATTTTATTTTCTAAATAAAGGATTGTTTGACCCAAGGCCTAAGTGTTGACTTGCTATTCCGAGATGGTTTATACGTGTGTGGTAAGACTCCATGTAGATGGCCCCTTTATGGCTCGTGGACTTCAACTCCCAGAATTCCTGAGCCAGCCATGCAGGAATTCTGGGAGTTGAAGTCCACAAGTCAGGCCATCGTTCCCTTACCCCAGGTGGTGTAAATGAAAAAGCTTTTTCTGCTTGTGAAGATTAACTTCTTTTAATTTTGTTCTGTTTTTAAGGAGGTTTTTTTTTTTAATTTTGAATGTTTTCAGGGCCTCAGATGTGCCTGAGCACGCAAGATTGATCTTTTTTTTTTCTTTTAAAAACAAAACCCTTACCTAAGTGTGAATGGCCTCCACTTCCCACTCGCAAATATTTCCTTTTGAAATTCTGCTGCAAATATTTCCTTTTGAAATTCTGCAACGACAAAAATTGAGCAAATGGTTGCAAACAAACTAACCTTTCCTATCGTTCCCCCCCCCCCAAAAAAAGGCCCCTCCCTCCCAAATTGTGTTTTGCAACAGGCCAACTGTTTTCTTACAATTGCTGTCCACTTGAAAGAGATGGAAATAAGGAAATGGGGAATGATAAAAGGGCGTTTCCCACCTCTCTGGAAGACATAAATCTCGGAACAAAATGGATTTTTCCTGTTTGAAAAGAAGGGAGAAAGCTTGAAAGGCTGTTAATTACCATGTTGTGGGATTGTGTAGGAGGTTTGTGGCTGCAGTATGATAATTACCATGTTGTGGGATTGTGTAGGAGGTTTGTAGCTGCAATATGTGGAGAATGAGAAGAGGGCATGGCACAGAAATCCCATTTAAATGCCATTTAAAATCGTGGCAATGGATTTTCCTCGGGTTGGGCTTTTTTCCCCCCTCTGATACTTGAAGTTAGATTTTTTTTAACCATTTTTAAGAGCAAGAGGCTATTTATTTATTTAATCTCACAGAACCATGGATTCTCCCCCCACTTTTCCGCTCATAAATTTTGTATTGAAAATTTAAGTTTTGTATGTCTGTAGGGGATGATTTTTAATCTACTCCTTTCTCCTCATCCCTGAAGGTGAAGAGCAGCGCAGCTTATAAAACAGGTCTGCCCTTTTTTGGGAAATTTGTATATATTTTGCAATTGATGGACCAATTAAAATGCCACCTTTAACTAGAACCATCGGAATTGAGAGTTTTTTGTTCCTCAGATTTCTGTTGAGGATAGTGGACGATGGATGTATATATACCTTTTGCTAGTGCAGGAGGTTGGGCTAGAAGACCTCCAAATTCCCTTCCAAATGTCAACTCATAAAATATTTCTATGGTCTTTATAGAGTTTGATTCAAGACTCAATTGGAGTAACTGCCAGAATCCTGACAGCTTTGGAGATTTTCAGTCATTCGGGTCATGGTGGTCCCAAATGTGCTTTTTTAAGAAAAGACACCTTTGGGGTCCCTTCCAAGTTTGTTATTCATGCAGGGAAATTCACTGGAGAAAACAATTTTGCTTGGAAGAGTTAGCGGTGAAAGGAAACCAGGCTGTCAAAGAACACAACACCCGAACACCATCAAATCTGACTCCGGCCAAAGCATAGAGCAGGTCAAAGAAGTAAGGCTAGATCAGAGATCTGAATAGCCAAGAGTCGGATACAACTGAATGAGTAACATCATTATCATCAATTTAATTACGTTTATCAAGGTGTAAAATGCAAACGAAAGCAAAAATAGTGGGAAAATGAGGGGGTGATGTTAGGGATATACACCCTAGCAGAACGTGCAACGGCAGTCTAGCAGACAGGCAGATATGTGAGACAAAACGTTGTAGTAGCTTACACTCAGTAAGACAGATACACTGTGCAAGTTAAATAGTTTTTATTCCAGCAAGAGTTATAGCATAGTCAAATAGTCCATATGTCATACACTAAGTTCAGTCAGTCCGGGGGTTATTCAGTTTGCAAAGTCCAGTGTCGAAAAAGAGTTCGTTAAACTTACAATCAATCAGTCCAGTGATATATCTCTTTTGCAGTCAGAGATATGAAGAAAAATCAAACCCCTTTTCTTCTCTCAGCAAACACGCAGTTATCACCATCAATCCATCATTTGTCAGCAATCCAGTATAAGCCAGGGCAAACAGTGAGCTCTCTTGCTCCCTCTTATGGTGATTTTACAACCGCACCCAAAAACTTGGTTTACAGTTTAAAGTGATACACACAATCATAGTCTATATATATTATTTTACCCAAACTAAGTTAGGTAACCAATGTTATCCCTAACAGGTGAAAAAGGGACAAGAAAGAAGCAGCAGCTGCTAAAAACGCCAACACAGTTCTAGGCTGCCTAAACAGAAGGATAGAATCAAGATCCCGTGAAGTGTTCATAATCCCGCTTTATAAGGCCTTGGTAAGGCCACACTTGGAATATTGCATCTAATTGTGGTCGCCACGATGTAAAAAAGATGTTGAGACTCTAGAAAGAGTGCATTAGGGGACTGGAGGCTAAAACATACGAAGAACAGTTGCAGGAATCGGATATGGCTAGTTTAATGAAAAGAAGGACTAAGGGAGACATGATAGCAGTGCTCCAATATTAGAGGGGCTGCCCCAAAGAAGAGGGAGTCAAGCTATTCTCCAAAGTACATGAGGGCAGGACAAGAAGCAACGGATGGAAACTCATCAAGGAGAGAAGCAACTTAGAACTAAAGAGAAGTTTCTTGATGGTTAGAACAATTAATCAGTGAAGCAACTTGCCTCCAAAAGCTGTGAATACTCCAACACTGGAAATTTAAAAAACGATGTTGGATAACCCTTTGAATTGGTGTAGGGTTTCCTGCTAAGCAGGGGGTTGGACTAGAAGACCTCCAAGGTCCCCCTGTTATTCTATTCTAAGTGTAGGGTAAAGAGGGAAAAAGCATTGACTTCCAATTCTTTTTAGTCCTGTAGAATAAGACAGTAACATTACAGCCTCGACGTTGTACTTTTACGTACTTGATATCCACTAATCATCTCTATAATCAACCTATCCAATCGGCAAAACCCAAAGTCAAAATTTCATTTCCATCTCACGCACAAAATCCAGATTTCTATCTACAGGTAATAGCAATAGCACTTAGACTTCCATACTGCTTTACAGCCCTCTCTAAGCGGTTTACAGAGTCAGCCTCTTGCCCGCAACAATCTGGGTCCTCATTTTACCCACCTCGGAAGGATGGAAGGCTGAGTCAACCTTGAGCCTGGTGGGATTTGAACTGCCAAATTGCAGGCAGCTGGCAGTCAGCAGAAGTGGCCTGCAGTAAATGAATGTTTGTTAGTTGTGGTGCTGCCTGTAGAAAGCACAAAATGCAGAAGGGGTTTCCAAGCAGAACCGGATTTGGTGTAGATAAGTCCTCAGTTTATGACCACAATCGAACCCAGAACTTCCGTGGCTGAGCAAGACGGTTGTTTAGGTGAATTTTGCCCCATTTTTCCGTCTTCCCTGCCACCATTGTTAAGTGAATCAGTGCAGTTTTTAAGTGAGGAACACGGCTGTGAAGTGAGTCCGGCTTTTTTGTTGACTTCGCTGGTCAGACGGTCGCAAAAGGGGATCGTGTGACCCTGGGATACAGCAAGGGTCATAAATACATCAGTTGCCAAGTGTCTGAATTTTGATCACGTCACCATATGGATGCCGCAGCGGTCGTAAGTGTGAAAAATGGTCATAAGTCCCTTTTTTCAATGCTGATGTAACTTCGAGCAATCACTGAAATGAACTTAAATATGAGCCAGCGGCAGCCCAAAAAAAGCCAATGCAATCCTAACCAAGAGAGGAACTAATAATATCAATCTATAAAGCCTTAGTAAGACTACACCTAAAGTACTGGATCCAGTTTTGGTCACCACACTATAAAAAAGATGTTGAATAGAATAAAATGACAGCATTGGAAGGGACCTTGGAGGTCTTCTAGTCCAACCCCCTGCCTAGGCAGGAAACTCTACATCACTTCAGACAAATTGTTATCCAACATCTTTTTAAAAACTGCCACAGGGAGGATGAAGGGGTCAAACTATTTTCCAAAGCACCTGAAGGCCAGACAAGGAATAATAG